TTCCTTGTATTCGCGAAAGCCCTGAACAGTCTCTCTTCTGTCCACTTTCAGCACTTCGCACAAACGTAGCACCTCTACGTCCCCATACTGTACGTCTAACTCCTCTTCAGGCCAACTTCCAGGATGGATAACTTTCATGTCCTGGATTAGCTGATTGTCCCGGGCCTCCCGGCCATGTAATAGGATTTCTCTTGTGCTGACATGAGAGGAGGTTGTGGAAGTCATTCTGTGTCTCCGATTCTCTACCATACTGCGGAAAAACTGACCTGCATGAATCTGTACAAGCCTGCCATTCTCACGCAGGGCAACACCCTTGAAGGACTTCTCAGCTAGAGCTGTATGAACTGTAGTCATGTGTGGGCCAGGCATGGTGACCATGGATTCAAAAACTCGTATTTATCGAGTTAAGAGCCTATCTGCTGTAGGCAGTGTCATCTCTCTTTTTTGGAGTTGCCGAGAGAGGTCGCTGAGCTCTGTGAGCGCATCGTACATCAGTCCCAGATTGCTGACAAACGTTGCAGATGTGAGCACATCATCCAGGCCCTTGTACTTTGCTCTGTCTCTGGAATCCCTGCTCGTGTCGTTTGCAGCATTTGTGAAGTAATCATGAAGCACTCGGTAGTTTTCCCAGACTGCTCTGACGCTCCTTTCACTTGAAGCCACCCAGCGGATGGACAAAACACGCCCTATCACCAGGAGACGCTGTCCGACTGCTTGCGCACACTGCGCTAACTGCCTCTGATTTTTGGGGGAGGCATGGAACAAGGAATAGAGTTTGTCAAAAAAGATCTGGAAATGATTGAGCCCTGAGACCTCCTTGACCACATCCCCAACTGCCAGCTCTAGACGATGATTGGAGCGGTGCCACACAAACAGGCTTGGGAATTTACTACACAACTGGGTAGCAACGCCTGTTCTCTTCCCTAGCATGACTGAAGCCCCATCACATGCAAAAGAAACGAAACACTGACCTAAAAAGTCCTCGTTAAAATCTCTTCCAAGACACTCCATTAACGCCTTTGTGATGTCATCAGCCGTTGTTCCATCCAACTCGATCAGCTCCCAAAAAAAACGTTTCGGGCTCAGCATCAGCTAATGCTGAGCGTAGACACACAACAAGCACCGTTTTACCACTAATAGTGGTAGATTCATCGACCAAAACACAGAGTTTTCTTTGGTTTTCTGTAATGTCTTTTGCCATTTTTTTCTTCAGCTCATGAGCTATGTGGTCGATGATTTCGCCACAGGTTTTATTGGAGTGCAAAACCCTGCCCACGTTCAGCCCATTCAGTTTCTGTACATTCAAATCAATTGGCATGTCTGTGAATGGCCGGCTATGTTTGCCAATTTTATATGCCGTTCGAAAAACTCTGATAGTGGTGTCTAATTCAGATTTATGCATAGACTGCACTTGATGTTGAATAGTTTCACGTGAAGCAGATGTAAGGATGTCAGCAGCTTTTACATGGGCTTGTGATTCTTTATGTTCTTTGATTTTTTTTCTCAGGCTAGCTTGTTGTTTGCCCTTGTCAACACCGAAATGAGACACTGCACACTCACCCCATTCAGTTGACAGTTTCAGTCCTTGTCCAGTGTGTATTCCCAAAGATTTGACATCTCTGCATATTCGACATCCTAGCTTCTTATCTTTAAGAAGGAGCCATGCATTGGTCTTGCAAAAATATTGCACCTTGTCCGTTGTCCAGCAGTCAGGTGCATCGCTTTGCCCGGTGTTGGTGGTGGCAGTTGAGCCAGCAGCAGCTAACCTTAGAGGCTCTGGAGGAGGCGGCGGAGCTAATGCTAATGCACTAGAACTTGGAGCAGGAGGATCAACCAAAGAAAGCTCCCCATCAGACACAATTTCCAACACAGGCACAGCATTCTCTGTATTTGAAGTTTCTTCCGGCGACAACCGCTGTCTTTTTGCACTTTTATTAATCCACCCTAACATTTTAGAAATGCTAATTTGTGACGTGCCTTACTTTCCTTCTCTCGGGGGCGTGCCTGCTCTGTTCTATCACTCTACATAGCCACCCACTGGGTGGGAGTTGCACTGCATAAACACAACACACGTGCATCTAGGTATGTAAATTGTAAAGCATTAAAACATGGTTTTACTAACAGTTTTCAGTATGTTGTTACTTCGGCATTATTATTATTATTATTTTGAAACGTGTATTACTATTAAATCACGGTCAAATAGGTTAATTTGACATAGTCGTTTCCACCACAGTATTTACATGGAGAAGATAAGCCCCGCCCCCTCTCCAGCACGTTCTGTTTGAATGACAGGAGTAAACAGCTGACAGCCGCTGTGAAACTCCAGCGGTTAGAGCGATGAGAATGTCCGTTCGGCACCTCATGACGCATCTACTGAGTACCGGGCGGCTGTATATATATATATGGATGTATAATAAGAACGGCGGGAGAGTGTTGAGTACTGGCACGGTGCATGAGTACCGGAGTACCGCCAGCATGCCGGTACTGAGCAAGAAGTGCCGGTACTCCATGGGTCAGAACCAGAAGTGCCGGTACTGCGTACCGGTGAGTACCGGCCCAATTCCAGCACTGTGTATATTCACATACCCTAAGAGACTTGCAGCTATAATTGCTGCAAAATGTGGCTCTACCAAGTATTGACTTTAGGGGGGGTGAATAGTTATGTATACAAAAATACGTTTTGCATTTTCAAAGTTTTAGGCGTGTTGTATGTGTACATCAAATAATACAAATTAAAGGAAATATCTTAATGCAATAAAACAAGAACAATGCCAGGGGGGGGTGAATACTTTTGCAAGGCACTGTACAGTACAGTATGTAACGATGAGAGGTGCAAAAGAAATAATGGGGACAGAGATAATGTAACGTTAGAGTTCATGAGAGGTTAAAGAGTTCAGTTTATGAGCAGATGGAGGTAGAGTAAGAACTGAATGCTGCAGAGTACCAACCACTGTGTTCCATTTCACCCTCAGTGGGTACAGCTGCCCATAGCCTACATTCCATTTCCCTGTAGAGCATCTGAACACACACACACACACTCACATAAACTCACATGCTTCATTATTTCCTCACAGCTTTGCAGGCCATGATAAATTCTCAATTTCTTAACCATGACCCAGAAGCACACACATTCTCTCCTGCTGGCTCTGTTTTCTTCACACACACACACACACACACACACACACACACACACACACACACACACACACACACACACACACACACACACACACACACACACACACACACACACACACACACACGCACACGCACACGCACACACACGCCCCAGCCCTGGCTTTCACACAAAGCCATGCCCAACACACACATACAGAATGTGTGTGTGTTGGGCATGTACTGTTCAGTACACACTTCTGTATGGAATGCCATTTAAGCCAAAATTAAATAAATACATAAATAATTAAATAAATACATATATATAAATATGCCTATGAAATAAATTCTGAAATAAATAAATGAGCCAATAAATATGTATACATGTACATTTGAATACACATTTATTTATTTCATGGGACTTTTATTTCATAATGACACATTTATTTATTTCATGGGACTTTTATTTCATGACACATTTATTTATTTCAATTGACTTTTATTTCATAATGACACATTTATTTATTTCAAGAGACTCGTATTTCATAATGACGCACTTATTTATTTCAAGAGACTTGTATTTCATAATGACACATTTATTTATTTCAAGAGACTCGTATTTCATAATGACGCATTTATTTATTTCAGGTGACTTGTATTTCATGATCAGACATTTCCATTCATTATATGCAAATGACCGGGGCGTGGTTAGCTCACAGATCCAGAGACCCAGACCAAAGCAACAGCACCACACTGACTACTCGAGAAGAGGAAGAAAATGGAGGAGAAGGACTATAAGGCAAACTACTAAATTCTCAGAGTCACACATCGCATGTAATCTGATACTCTAAATTTCACCCGCCAGAAATGTTCGCTTCGTCTTCTTCGGTGTAAATTGTCCGTTGGCAAACCAGTTGACTTCTTCTTCTCTCGGTTTTTTGGCGGATTGCAAACCACTTTAAGGTGCATACCGCCACCTATGAGTGTGAATCATCATATCATTCCATCTCTTAACTCATGGACGTATCTATGATCTAATCCAAAAATAAATAAATTAGGGCTGTCAAACGATTACAAATTTTAATCAGATTAATCACAGCTTAAAAATGAATTAATCATGATTAATCACCATTCGAACTATGTCCAAAATATGTCATTTCTTTATGTGTATTGTTGTGGGAATGGAAAGATAAATGAAAGAAGAAGGATGTATCCATTTAACATGTTTATTGTAAAAAAATTCTGTGTGTCAAAATGAAAGAGAGCACCTATCAATCATCAAACCGTGGGGTCTTAATTCATTACGTGTTGATTTCTATCAACGGGGGAGTACTTCAGGAAAGTCGACAGGGGGGGGGGGGTAGTGGAGTACTTCGTGACCACAGTGTAAACGTTGTGATCAGCTGTTTTAGCGCAGTTCTCCAGTGAAGGGGGGAGTCTCCCTCCGCAGCCGGTTTGCGTAGTTTTGGCACAATTCCGTTGTACAGACCGACGTTAACAGCAGCCCTGTCTGTGCACACGGAGACCGACTCTGTCGTCCGGTGATCTAACCGCCTTCTGGAAAAGCTTCACAAGTACGTCGGTAAGCAAATGCGCTTTGTGACACAAGTGACGGTACGCATTTCAGATTACGCACATAACCTGCGTACCAGTTATGTGTTACCTGTACTACAGCTAAAGTATTCTCCGTCGGGACTTCCTGCAACAACACCACGCCGTTATCTTGATTCTGATTGGCCAGAAGACATTATCAAAGATGTTCTATTGGGAAGACGATCACTACGTGACAAAAGTTTTCAAAACCGTTTCTGGTCTTCCATATTTCCAGACAAGTGGCTACTGAAATCAATCTTACTAACTGCTGTCTGTGCAATTCTCGGCGCGAGTTGGCGGACTTTATTTTGCTTACTTTAACATCATTTTTCATGGTGGGGCTAAGCCATTTCTTGGTATGGGTGTAGCCTACCCCAGCCATACCCTGTCTTTATAAATATTTGTCTGCTGGCATACCATCAGACCAGCATTTATCTATCACCAGCTTATGTTAGTATTAAATATACAATGTATTCTGGTAACTATCAAAATAAAGACATTGTATAGTGTTCATAACAGTATTTTTATTTAATAAATTATACTTAATACAATAATATTTAAAAAAAAAACCTACATCTAAATAAATATATCATCTAAAATAGATGCATTTGATTTAAAAATAACAAATATAATTCAAAATGTAAACAGCAACAAAGAAATTATAAACATTTTTTTTCTTTTTCTTGTTAATATCCATTATCTTCTCTGTTATGTATCTTCCGGTCTTTGCCAATCTGGCCAGCATTTCTTGGTCCTCCACGTCTTTCTCGTACAGCCACTGCTTGAAGCAAACTGAAAATAAGAAACAACAATGTTTTAACAAATCGTATTCAATTATGTGCTGATAGAACTGCAAACAGAATAGCTGTAACTTTAACAAAATAAATACCTCAGTTTCCTCTAATCATTAACCCATGTTTGTATCATTGAGTTAACTCTGTGTGTTGCTGCTAGCATACATAACACCTGACGTGGAAACGTTACTCGTGGATGGGGCTACAGAGCTACTAGAAAGACAGTCGAACCCGGTGCATTCCTCCGTCTGAATGTGGTGCACTTTTGCGAAATGTTTAGACAAGTTGCTCGTGTTACCGCCCTTACATGCTAAACTCTTATTGCACTTTTGGCAACAAGCATTTTCCACCTCAAGACCAAGCCCCCAGGAAGTGCGCCGGACTCTGAGGAAAATATTCGTTGTGTCCAAACGGCGGTACTACAATTTCCTTATCAGTCTGTGACGTCGACCGGCCCAGAAATACTTTTTCCCATTGACTAACATGGGGAAAGAGACGTCTGTAACTCGGTGGATAATTTTTTTTAAACTAAATAAACGACCCAGTATGAACTATTGTATAGCCCTAGAATCATTAAGTCCTTAAAGTTGTAAAATGCACTAAAAGCCGAATCTAGATTTATTCTCTCTCTCTCTCCATTCTTTCTAGTGAGCCGAGAGTGTGTGCTCGGGGGGCGGGGCTTAAGGGGCGCATGCTCTGTGAGCGCACAAACGGGTTCTTCTGCTCTGACAGCCAGGCATGACGGGTAATCTGTGACGATTCGCTCTCTCAAAAGTTGGGCCATTTTGACTTCATGCGCCAATGAGCAGCTCTCATAGGAAAGAACGAGGCCCCTCCTCCGACGCTGTATCCAGTTCTTATTATACATCCATGCTCAAGACGGGTAACATAACTACCCTCGGGGCGCTTAGTTCTCTCCGCCATGTGTTTGTGTGTGCACGCGCGTTTGTGTGCGTGTGTGTGTGTGTTGCATGCATGCATGTAGCAGGTTCTGTGTGTAAACTGCCCCACCCCCTCGCACACCGACAGGGGAGAGAGATCTCTCGTCTGGATTGGAAAGATCGAAAATAAATCATAGACGCACTTTGTAGTCTTATTGCATATTAGAAACGGAGTTGGCGACAGTAAGACTGCGATATAATGTTTATGTAGATGTAGGAGCCAAAATGCTTGTTTTTGCCTTACTTATTATTTGTATTATTATCTTATCGTATTTCTGTTTGCATCGCGTTTAATTCTTATTGTTTATCACTTCCGGCAATGGTCACGTGGGTGTGGTTTATTGGTATTTAGTCACCTGTTGGATGCCGGTTGGGAGGATATGATGTAGGAAGAGGGTGAATTTGCTCCGATACTGTCTGTTGACCGTCAGGTCTGGAGTTGTATATTGTTTGTTTTCATCTTTATTAAACACCATTGACTACGGACTCTTACATGGAACGCGTCACAGCAAAGAGCACTTTTTAGCCTCTCAGCAGCTAACTCATAGGGAGTTATTGCCGCTACAGTAGATATAATACATATGATATCTATTTTTTAAATGTCTCCCGTACCGATAAAAAGATCGATAACGTTGGACGTTAACGGTACCACATTCTTTAATAATTCAGCCCGGGGCCCGTTTAATACTGGGGCTCGGTACCCATCCCTAGTTTTAATTATTACATCATCAATATTACATTTCAAATAACCAAGTACTTGGTGTCTCACAAAGAGCAAGTGGCTAGTGCTGCTAAGAACATACCTGGTGGTGATGGTGGCTCTTCGCTGCAGGATCTGGTCGATGTCCTCCTAGCAGAAGCGATTGCCTTCGTCGTTCTCGTCCATGATGGCGGCGTAGGCTCCTTTCCTCAGCAGGTCCTCGATCTCCTTCTTGGAGAACTGCTGGACCGGCTAAAGGCGACGCAGAGAGACATTTACACATGTGGATTTAGAAAATTCTTTTTGAAAATAAACTAAGCGTACTGCAACAGCGACTGACCCAAAAATGACTTGGCATCTAGAAATATGACATTTTATTTTTCTCACCCCGTTGTTGTTGCCTTCTTTGTTCCCACTCATGCTCTTGCAGGACGGCACCGTCCAGCCCGAGCTTCAGACTAGCTTTATCCAGCATTTCCCTCTCATAGTTTCTAGTGATCAGACGGTACACCTTCACCGCCTTAGACTGGCCAAAACGATGACACCGAGCTTGAGCCTGAAATAAAAAATTAAAAGAGGGGTCAAAAGAACATCATGTGCAGCTGCTGTTCAACGTTTTTAAGCATTAAATGGGAAAATAATATACACTTAAAGAACCGAGGGAATAAACGGAAAGACTGTTGTTGTTGTTGTTGTTGTTGTTGTTGTTGTTGTTGTTGTAGCCCTATTGAACTATCTTTAGGACAGACAGAGCAGATATATATATCGTACCTGCAGGTCATTTTGAGGGTAACTTCCAGTCAGAGTGGAATATCACACAGGTGTCCGCAGCAGTGAGGTTCACAAGCTCTTGATCAGGTGTTTGATGTGGGCTAAGAGGTGGAGGAGGTCTCTGTCATGTACAACCATTGGTAGATGTTACACCTGAAAGAAAGATAAGGAAATAAGACAACACAGGAGGACAAACATCTTCTTAAGTAAAAGACGAAATCATGTCAAGCTTTACATCTTTCAGTCTTTACAATGCACTGTTGGAAATTACATTCCAAAGGCTAAATTCAAACTCAATACCATAAATAACTGGGTACCAAAGTGCTTTACCTGATAGAACACGTTCCACACGGAGCAGCAACCATCCGGCTGGGCCTTTTGCTGCATATCATCTCCTCCCTCTCCACTGTTTCCAGTAGATATCTACTGCCTCTGTCCAATAAAACTGAAATGCCCCAAAACAATCATATTTAAAAAGTGAAAAACAATAACTTGCTTTTGGCATTCAAATGTATTAGAATCTCACCTTTTTTCCGCAACCAGTCATAGGAGTTCAAATGCAAAGCCTGAACGATGACAAGAGCGAAACTTACATTTTACAAGATAAGTAATACCAGAGCAGTGTTTAGGACATGCAGAGAACAGATCAAATCCCCTGACAGGCTCACACACTTTGGTGATGTCCTCATCTGATAATGATGTTTCATTTTTAGCAGCAAAGTAACATTACTCAAGGTATATGTTGGACCCAACTAATGTACAGTATGTGTTGCATCTCCTCAACAATGGTCTGTATAGTTGAGTAGAAACAAAATGTCCCTACAGTTTCAGGTAGATTAACAAAGAAAAGTTTGGAATGAAGCACAAAACCCCTCTTTGTATTAAGCTAGCTGCCACAGAAAGTACAGCTTAACATGCTAACCTGGTAGAGTTAGCTAACGTTAGCTAACTTCATGTCTAACTAAAAACCTCTAACGTGCATTACATTGACGATTTTAAACACAACTTAACTCTCTCAACTTGTAAAATAACGTTAATTTAACATACCCTTAAATAACTACATCACGTTTTTCAGGGGCAACACAAACTGCAGAAAACGTTAGCTGCTAACTGTTGTTAGCTAAGACAGCTAGCTCGTAACAATAGCCTCCTAGCAAACTTAAGGTTATGTTAACATTAACTTAACGTTGTAAGAAAACAAAACGAACCTTCGAGACATCTTTTACTCTCAGACTGGGTGTAATTGTGTAGCGTTGCTTACCTCCAGAAGGACTTTTAGCTGTTTCCCAGTAGAGACTAGAGAGAGCTGTCAGAGCGGTTGCTCTCAGAAGAGCAGCATTGGGCGGACCAGAGAAGACCAGAGAAGAACCAGTTAAGCACCAGAAAAGCACAAGAATGGTTCTTGAACCGGTTTGGTTTATTGGCAGTTTGCAAACCACTTAAGTGGTGGTTTCACCACTGGAGTGTGAAACAAAAGCTATTGAGTCAGTGTTGTGGTGCTGTTGCTTTGGTCTGGATCTGGGAGCTAACCACGCCCCGTTCATTTGCATGTAAGGAATGGAAATGTCTCATCATGAAATACAAGTCACCTGAAATAAATAAATGCGTCATTATGAAATACAAGTCATCTGAAATAAATAAATATGTCATTATGAAATACGAGTCTCTTGAAATAAATAAATGTGTCATTATGAAATACAAGTCTCTTGAAATAAATACATGTGTCATTATGAAATAAAAGTCTCTTGAAATAAATAAATGTGTCATTATGAAATAAAAGTCCCATGAAATAAATAAATGTGTATTTAAATGTACATGTATACATATTTATTGCCTCATTTATTTATTTCAGAATTTATTTCATAGGCATATTTATATATATATATATATGTATTTATTTAATTATTTATTTATGTATTTATTTATTTTGGCTTAAATGGCATTCCATACTTCCGCTGATCCCTGTTCCAGGTCATTCTGTTCCGACTGAGCTGGATTTACATGCTGGCCAAGCTCAAATCACTTATCTTGGCACAGAGCGATAAGTTGCTCTTTAGCTTATCTTCGCATCAATTTCCAGTTTTTATTTTTTAAGCAAGTTAATGATGTGAGGTCATCTTTGTCTGGTGCAGTGGGACACAGCTGTCTATATACATGTGTTAAGCAGGGAAATGGAGCTCCATTGCCACAAGCAAAAGCTTCACTTATGTCACTTATACTCGTTTGCCACTGAAATGAGTTCCGCTCTAGTTCCGTGCTGGTGCTAGTTTCCAGTTTGCTTTTCCACCAACTACAGCCCTGTACGAGCCACGTCATCGTAGATAATAACAAGGGTGGACCGCGTCGGAGCTGTGCTCATGCTGCTCTTATTCACACCAAGCCAGATTGAATATCCAGCAGTGGCTCAATCAGTAGGGGCTTGGACTGTGAGCCGTAGGGTCACCGGTTCAAGTCCCCAAACAGAACTAAATATGGAGTGTGGACTGCTACTTGGAGAGGTCCCAGTTCACCTCCTGCCCTGCCGTGGTGCCCTTGAGCAAAGCACCGGACATCCCCCTTACTCCCATTGCTCCCCGGGCGCTGTACAATAGCTGCCCACTGCTCCTAGTAATAGACTCCTGGTACTAGGATGGGTTAAATGCAGAGAACACATTTCACTGTGTATGCTGTGTGCTCTGCATGTGTGACCACTTCATGCAGATCAAGATCCTGATCAGCCTGTCGGTGTTATTTTACCCATAATGACCAAGTCGCTGCACATTATCCCGCTTATTACATGGCCACATTCTCAACAAATTAACAACATGACTCCCAATATTAATTGAAATGCTTTTATGGATTTAGAAAATGTTTTTATTGATTTAAAAAATAGTTGTATGTATTGATTTAAATTGACATGCATCCGCTAAGAAAAATAATCCGTTGTTACCGTTTGAAAAACGTAGCAACAGCAGGAAGGCGGAGCTTTTTGATTACAGATTTGAAAACATCGTTGCTTGCTTTAAAAGTAGCACAATTCATTATGTCAAACCTTGGAAAATATCTAGATATCCCTGCCCTAATGCCAAAGGAACTGGCAACTGAATATGTGTCGCCGTATGATGTCTATGTCTGGACCGCTGCGTAAAAAGGAGGGTTTCTGCCCCATTACTTCTCCGCTGTTTTCTTGTCGCTCTTGTCTTGTCCGTTCAAAATGCTTTTCAGCCAAACTGTATACAGTTAAATCGAACGGACTTCTTTGTGCAGATGTGAGCGTCCTTAACAACGGTCAATAAATGCTTGACAGCGGTCTGTCTGTTCTGGATTAATAACGCGTCACGTTTTCTGAATTGACCAATCAGAATAGAGTATTCAACTAATATAAACCATGTAATAGAGAGCTGAAGTCCCGCCCATCTACTTTCGACCCATGGGACCTTATTTTGGAAAAATTAGGTATTGAAGTCAATGGGGAGAGAAAGATTATCTTTCGATCCCGTTTGAATTGTGCCACGAATTACACATATGATGTTTGTCAATCTTAAAAAATAATTTCCATGTAAAAAAAGTCACAGTTTGTCGTAAAACTGTTGAAATATAAGACTATGAAAAATACGCAACTAGAAAGACTACAAATCCCAGAGTCCCGGTCGAGCCAGCATGCGGGGAGTTAGTCGGTTCGTAAGGGTCTTACGAACCGACTAACTCCCCTTGTGTGTATGTACAGTTCTCAACATGCCCAGACTTGTAGTGATTTTTACTTCTTTTAATACTTTTCGCCTCATTCTGAAAGAAATAAGTGAAATGTGCCAATGTGACGACCGTCTTTGTGGTGCGAGACGGGAGATGTAGTTCATTGAGCGTTTCACACAAAAAATGTGTTACTTCACAGTTTTACGACACATTTTATTTTTTTGACTTGCAAAATTATCTTTTAAATTGACAAAGATCATATGTGTAATTCGTGGCACAATTCAAATGGGATCGAAAGATAACTTTTCTCTCCCCATTGACTTCAATACATACTTTTTCCAAAATAAGGTCCCATGGAGGTCCACCGGAAGGGGAGGGACTTCACCTCTCTATAAAGAGGGTTTCATCCCTCCAAATTCTTCTATAAAAAAAAAATAAAAATTGACGAACGACTTCTCCAGCTTTATACTGTTCATATATACTGAGTGACGTGGTGCATTGCCATTATGATTCAGCACCATTTGCCGACCGCTGGAGAGCTATCCACCAGCATTTAACATAAGGTTTGCTACTAGCAGCAAATGGAAAATAATGATTGACTGTGCAACGTCCCGATGCATGTTTCCCTATAAATTAATCCTTTTGTTCAGCTTTAATGTGCAATGGTTGGGAACATAGTCGCAGAAACAGTTGATCTCGTATTACATGGTTGATGTTAGCATAGCCACGAAGCCAGTCTGACTTATCATTAACAAGATTTAGAGCCAACTTACTCAATTAGAGAATGCATTAGATACTACAGTATATAGAACCCCAGGTCACGGAACATTAACAGGGTTTATGTGTGGCATAATAATTATTCACCATAGATTATTTGAATCATTGTAGCTTATGCAATATTATACCGGCATCTTTTCACTATGATCTAACTTCTGATAGTATGATATGACATCTTGTTAAGCATATGTATGACTACACCCGATAGCGAGCATTAAAAAACGGCTTGTTTTGAAAACGGGCAATATAGCGAACAGTTGGGCATTCAAAATATGGTAAAAATTATTAAAGGAAACACGAAAAACGATATAGTATGCTATACAGTGTATGTACTGTATGTCTCAATTTTCGGCTCTACTGCTTCTGTATCTGTATCAGGTTACTCTCACCCCAGCTTGCGATATAACCCTCTTACCTAAAGAGCTTTTAAAAGGGGTATGAGTGATGTTACAGTTTTTTTTAAACAGATAACTTCTTTAATGCAGATGCAGTTCCATTTACACTATTCAACATAAACTTGTAGATTATATCATGGTTTTTATAAAGTAGTTAACATGTTTATGCATGTGCATGAATGGGAAATGATCCATACTCAAAGTATGCACCGAGCAAAAGCAGAGCATCTGTGAACAACATGAAGGTTTATGAGGGGTTTCCCTAGAGGATTGAGTTCCTGCAGCACAGCGGTGGAGCGACTTGTGTTGTCAAACATCATGAATTCTTAACGGCACAAGGACACATGCAAAGAAAGTAGCATTACTCTATGACCTTATTCAACGCTTGAAGCGTTTATCAATATCTGCGGGCTATATTCCAATTATTACTTCTCTTGTTGTAATTCCAGAAGCACTTCCTGTCTAAAACTGCATTTAAGAGCTCTTAGAGATAACATCTGAGAACCAAGAACCTATATAAATGACTGAATGACGTGCGCATTAGTTTGTGGTCTGTGACTCTTTTTGTCATTACCCTTTCAAAAATGTATATTTATTCAATTTTCTAAATTACAGTTGAGTGCACTAATCAATAATGACAGGGTGGACAGTTCGAGCCTTTCTACTCCATTTGCTAAATCTAGTCGGAGTTTAAATACTCTAGAATAGTCATTTTTTTCCCTCCAAAGGTCGGACACATTTTGGAGACCAAACTGAAGGTGAGCATGTCCCTGGGTTTTTTCCTTTTCCTGTAATGTGTTATATTGGTTATATAAGCAAAAGCTAAAAATACAAACACACCTGCCTGCAACGCCTTCGTTTGCTTCCGTAACATAGTGACATTACTATGTAACACTTGTGCTTCTATTGGCTGGCGCTCCAACCCATTGTATGTGATAAGCTAAGGAGTGGGACATCTTTAAGCGGTTGACCAATCACAACAGACCCGGTCAGCTGACCAATCAGAGAAGACTGGGCTCTGGTTTCAGACAGAGGGTGAAAAGAGGTTCTGCAGCACAGGCAGTATGAGGAAAATAAAGAGCTTTCTGAAAATTAAAGCATGGAGACATGTTATTTACTTCCAGGCATCTAACTAAGCGGAAAAATTGAGATATGCAAAAATGCCTACTCATTCCAAGGTTTTGTACTTATTCCCAGAGGTGTGGACTCGAGTCACATGACTTGGACTCGAGTCAGACTCGAGTCACCAATTTGATGACTTGAGACTCGACTTGATAAAATCACAAAACACTTGCGACTCGACTTGGACTTGAACCATGCGGCCAATCATATGCGAGGACACACTAGGATCATACCATTATGTGAAAGAAGGGTGGGGGGCACAGCAGGTGTAGTGGTACAGGCCAGCTGTACAGAGCGACGGATTTAAATGCAAGTGTGTCGGAAAAAGTCAAGAAATGAGCGAAAACCGAAAAAAGAAGCAGCATCTGCTGCTTTTCAATG